CAGGTTGAGTACAACCTGTCCACCACTACTCTCTGGGTGCGCCCATCAGCCAATTTTTTCCCCATCCAACTGTGCAGGCATCAATGCCACAGTCACTTAATTTATAGATGAGGATGGGGTGAGAAACAGTGTCAAAGGCCTTCTTAAAGTCTAGAAAGACTACATCCACAGCAACACCATCATCCAAGGATTTAGTTACTTGGTCATAAAAGGCAATCAGGTTGGTCTGGCAGGACCTGCCTTTGATGAACCCATGCTGGTTGCCCCTGAGCATGATCTCCCCTGCAGGCCCCCACAGATGTGCTCCTTGATGATTCTTGCCAAGATCTTCCCGAGCACCGAGGTGAGGCTTACGGACCTATAGTTACTTGGGTCCTCCTTCCTCCCCTTCTTGAAAATTGGGACCACATGAGCCAGTTTCCAATCCCCCGGCACCTGGCCAGATGACCACGAACGCTCATACAGCCGGGCCAAGGGCTCCGCGATGACCCCTGCCAGCTCCCTCAACACCCAGCCCCCCCTGCAGCCCAGGGACCGCTCTGCCCGCTGGCAGCTAGCCCTCCGCTCCCCTCTGGAGAGGCAGGTAAGTCAGCGGGGTGTGTGCACGACACAGGGGTTTAATCGGCCCTAAATTAAAGCTGTTTTTCAAAACCCACCAGTTCAATTTAGGGCCCCCGTTTTGTCTACACATGCCCATAGGTGACAATCAGAGTCTGTCTGAGACACATTTTCATCCTGGATGTAACAGATTTCTGAGCCCTCCGCTCCCCTCTGGAGAGGCAGGTAAGTCAGCGGGGTGTGTGCACGACACAGGGGTTTAATCGGCCCTAAATTAAAGCTGTTTTTCAAAACCCACCAGTTCAATTTAGGGCCCCCGTTTTGTCTACACATGCCCATAGGTGACAATCAGAGTCTGTCTGAGACACATTTTCATCCTGGATGTAACAGATTTCTGAGTCTTTGCTCCTGCTGTCGGCCTAATCAATATGTAGCATTTCCAGTGACACGAAGATGGAGCGTGTTAGTACAGTGCGAGGAACTGAGCTCTGGAGGGAGCAAACCTCAGCAAAGTCTGTTCTGTCATGTCTGCTTAATACTCACCCGCTTGCCGTCCGTTGCTCAGGAAAAAACCATATGGTGCCTCAGAGACATAGAAATGAAACCTCAACTGCTGTGGTCTGTGCAGAGCTGGCATTTGTGTGTCCCCCTCTCCGCCTGGGCATGCAGCCCCACTCAGTGGTTGCACCACTGCCCTAAGGCTCTGGTTTCTGTACAGTTCCCTCTGCAGTCAGGGCGCCATAGGAGCCTCCCTGTGTCAGCTGGCAGCGAGCCTCAAGAGGACATCCCTGAGGTGTGCATCACAGTGCATCCCTTCTCCCTGCCACCGTGCATGCCTCCCTGCTGGGCACCTGCACAGAGAGGGGCTGAGAAACTAGATACAGCAGCTTTGCACCTGCCAGCAGCTCCCTCCTATCCGGGGTATCCCCCACTAGGGTTGGACACTTGGTCTCCATCCCCTTCGTGGAGAGAGTGTGGAGCTCGGCATCCGTGACCATAGAGGCAAAACTACCGAGGACAGATGTGTGTAGCGCTCCCTCAGTGCTCACCAGAGCTCCGCTCGCTGGGGGCGCTTGTACACATGACGCCATTACCACGTACACGTGATGAAAATGTCACTTGGTGTGGCTTAATGGTATCACGCTATGTGTACAAGAGCTTGGGGGTTTAAAATGAGTTTGCATTGTTGCAAATTAAACTACATCCCGACCTAGGCTAGTTTGCAATGCTGCATTGCAGCTGTCAGTGGCTGTGGGGGAGGCGGGCAGGCTTCACAGAAAAAAGGATCGAGCCCCTCACCACTTCTGCCCTTAGCAGGCGCCTGCGGAAAGCAGAAGCAGTGGGGGCCTGATCCTTCCTTTTATTTTTTTGGTGGAGCCTGCTCTCCTCTCCCGTGGCTGGGGGGGCAAGATGCTGGTCGACTGAGCTAGCCCACCCAGGTACCCCAGGGCGGCACCACCACCATGGAGCAGGTCCCTCACCATAACAGAGATGGAAAAATAAAACCCCACCATTTCAATTAAAAATCCACCGTTTCAATTTAGGGGGCACAGAATGCAACCCTAAAGACTAACCCCCCATCACGTGTCCAAGCGCCCCCTGGATGCCCTGCCTACCTGTGCCCACTCCAGATGCACCAGTCCCAGAAGCCAGGTAGGGATACTGCCCTGAGAGCACCCACCACCACAGCTCTCACACACACACTAGGGCAGGGGTGGGCAAAATGCGGCCCGGGGGCTGGATATGGCCCGCCAGGCCATTCTATCCAAGGGGGCCCCTAAAAAATTTAGAAAACTAATATTTATCTTCCCCAGGCTGCCTGTCATGTGGCCCTCGATGGCTTGCCAAAACTCAGTAAGCGGCCCTCCGCCCAAAATAATTGCCCGCCCCTGCACTAGGGGCATGAGGCTGGAAGCAGTATAGACACACCCTGGCGTCGGCTCTGATGGCTGATCAAGTCCCCTCTTTGGCTCATTCTGAAAGCGTCCTCTCCAGCCCAACAAAACCAGGTCTTGTAAGGAAAAAGTTTAATAGATTGCATTGACATAGACATTAGGGCTGGAAGGGACCTTGTAGGACACTCGGGTCCAGCCCCCTGCCCCAGGGGCGGGAAATCAGCTGGGGTGAAAGGATCCCAATTTCTAGGAGGTCAGACTTATATACATATTCTTTTGCCTATATATAGCCAATAAGCAAGCACAGAGGAAAATACTGTGTGAATACATACACTGGGGAGCCAGCAAGAGCCTGGCCCCTGGAAATGCATTAGTTCCAAGGCCTCAAACAGTATTTAAGCAGGAATTTCTCCCCTGCCTCCTTTTTTTGAGTCCAGCTTAAGCGTGAGAGTCACTGCTAGGGGTTGAGCTGAGCAGGAGCCTGTTTGCTTCCTATTATTCCTTTCTGTGGTGCGACTTCCACCCGGGCAGGCCTGTTTCTTAAGCAAGGCGAAGAAGCCAGATCCTCAGCTGACGTAGATCGTCATAGCTCTGCGGAGGCCAGTGGAGCCGTGCCAGCTTACTTGAGTGAAAGTCTGGCTTGCAGTCTCTGGAGTCAGTCAATAGCCATAACATTAGGAGACGGAGTAGAGAGAATTGATATACTTCTAAATTAATAAATTATGGCAAAGCATTTTTTAACGGGCAGAGGTGTGATCCTGCATAACTCAAGCCTGCTTGGCGTATGATTAGAGACGACCCTCATAATAATTAGAGGAACGGCTTAGAGATTGCTATTATACTGCAGTTCAATCAGTTATGCCAGCTAACGCTTTCCGTTCCCTCTCACTTCTGAGAGGTGCTGTCCTTCTGCGCGTGTTAAAATGAGATCTACGGCCACCCAACAGCAAACCGTACCTTTGAAAATGTGCAGACAGCCTCGGGGCATCACGTGAGACCATCTTTCAAAGAAGCCTGTGGGAGACAGCTTGATTTACAGAGCCAGCTGTAGTTGCTCGCAGCCCAGCCTTTGCATGTAATCTTACCTAAGAGGGGAAACTTGGGATGCTACAAGCTCAGGAGTCCACTGAGTCTAACCCAGTTACTTAGCCAGCAGCTTTAAATGCTAATAGCTCTGTTAAGTACCTGTCTAATTCCTCTTAACATGACTGTGCCTGTTGCTTTTATAGCTGCCCTTCCTGGGATCTGCTGCTGAAATCTGAATGCTAAACTAAGACAATCTTCTGTAAACTACTTAGCAGCTGGACAAAACACAGAGCAAATCCTTCCTGGCCATTACACTTCTTCTGTTGCTTTTTCATCTCCAGTGCCAAATTCTCAACTCATTTGTGTCAGTGACAATCCAGAGTCTCTTTGTCCGTGTAAATGGACTTGCTCTGGATTTACACCTTTATAACCACGAGCTCCGAGAAGCAGAAACCTGCGGCTCGTGTCACTGTTTGACCTGCGCCAGCAGGTCAAATTTATTCTCTGCATGGATCAATCTTGTGCTTGTGTTTGTTTTAGGCAGTGGATTATGAGATGAACAGAGCTTTCATGCTGACGGTGATGGTATCAAACCAAGCTCCGCTGGCAAGTGGAATCCAGATGTCCTTCCAGTCTACAGCGGGAGTCACCATTTCGGTCACGGACGTCAACGAGGCACCGTATTTCCCAACCAACCAAAAGTTAATCCGACTGGAGGAAGGGGTGCCCACGGGGACGGTGTTGACGACGTTTTCAGCCGTGGATCCCGACCGCTTCATGCAGCAAGCAGTAAGGTGGGCAGCCAGCCAGATGAGGTCGTGTGTAATCACAGGTGGGATTTAAGAGACAGAAACCTGGGGAGTAAAACAACCGTAAGCACCTATCAAAATCTAATTCCTAACTGGCCTGTATAACGTAATGACAGTATTCAGCAGTTACATGCGCCCTCCCTTTGATGATCTCAGGATGCTTTGCCGGTTTTAATATTTGCAGCCCTACCAATGGGCGGGATTGAAGGGGGAACAGTTTGTGGAGTAAAACTGAATCAGAGCCGGCATCTCTGTCAATGCGTGGAGCTCAAAAAGAGTCCAACTCTTAGAGGTGCTAAGGCTCACCAGCATCACGTAATATTGAGGGCACTATGTCCCTTTAGTCTTAAGGATGTTATTTAATATTCATAACGTAGTCGGTGGTAGAGCCCACAGCCGAGATCAGTGTTGTACATACGCATGGTCACATGTACAGCTCCCACCCGAGTGAACTTGCAGTCTAGCTAGACGAAGGCTCGGGGAAAGGAAGCATTATTATTCACCTTCTCTGGAAGGGGGACAGAGAGGCGGAAAGAATAAGGGCCACATTTTCAAAGATAGATAGGAGCCCAGAGAGGGTGATCCTAGAAAGTGGGACTTTCCCAAGTGCCTGGGAGCATTTTTGAGCCCCTCCATGCTTCCAAATATGTGGCCCTTCATAGCAGCCTGTCCTGAGAGAGAGGGTCCCCAGCATGCATGCGTATTCTGCACCCAGGACACACTGCTGAGACCACTGTGGGGTTGTCCCCAGCAGCCATGCTCAAGTATGCTGGAGATGAAGTCCTTAAAAGCAGCATCATGGGGACATCCCAGAGCATCTTTCTGGGTTTGGAGCGTACAAGCTAAGGCGGGTTGTGCTCGGGGCTTTCCCAGACAGGATATGCTGCTTCTGCAGTGACGCCTCCCCTAAGTCAGCGGTGGCCAACCTTTCTGGCACAAATTATCCCTACACCCTCCTCGAGTGCCACGCTGATCCCTTTCCCTTGCCCGATCTGCTGCTCTGATTTCTGCTCCCTGCCTGATCCGATGCTCTGCTTTCTGCTCCCTACTGCTGTGCGTGCATGCAGAGGCTGCCCATGCAACAGGTTGGCCAGGCCTGCCACGAAATGACCCAGGAAGTGTATGGCAAGCTGGGAGCTGAATCTGAACTTCCCAAGTCCCTTTCCTGTGAACGAGTGGCAATACCATCCTCCCTTCTTTTCACAGGAGCACCTTGGGCACCCTCCAGCTGCATATTTCAATCCCATTACATTTTATGGGCCTTATTTTTAAAATGATTAGACTTGCAATCATGTACGTAGTAGGCGCATGTGGGTGCTGCTCTGCACATACAGAATAGGCTATTGCACACTCAGAAAGCTAATTATGATCATTTGCATTGGTTAGTGTATAATGTATGCATATAAATTAGGTGAACAACGGCACACGCCGTCCACACCACCAAAAAAAAGCATTTTGCAGGTGATAGAAAACCCGTATATGCTTAAGGGTGTTTTAAACACCTTTGGTTAGTCTGTCAGTGTGTTCTGGGCCCACCAGAAAATGCATTTGCTGCTAATTGACAGAGATTTTTAACTCCATACCAGCTGTTCCCTCTTACAACCTTGGTGCTTAAGGACTACAGTATTTTTCACATGGCAGGGGAGGGCTGTATGTGACCACAGCTGAGGCCCATTTAACTTATCTCCATTGTGACATTCTGTGTCGGTAGAAGGCTGAGATATTTTACCTTGTGCGGAGCTGTCTGGTGCAGAAAATGACTGTGTTTACTCACCGCTCCTGCCCATTGTGTTTGGACAGGTACTGAAACTTTTACGGAGAGAGACTGTCTTCGTTAACAAGCCAATTTGTCCTAAGTGTTTCATTGTGAAATTCTGAGCCTTTGAAACGTCTCCGTGCCCCTCCCATGCTCGCTGGTTTGTGCTGCAGTCGATAGAAAAGTGCAGCTTGCATTCTGATTAAGTGCTCCCTGTAATCTGTAGGTGTTTGGATTGTAATCCAGAATGAAAATTGCTAGCTTGACCGTCCTCCCATTTGAGAGACAATGACAGGCTCTGCTGAGCCATTCCCGTGATTGCAGGGTGCGTGCGGGGCACCCCACAAGACCTTCTCTAAATATCAACAGCAAATTACTTGAGCTGGTGTTTTTTCCTAGAGTTCTGGGGACGCGTACATTTGGACCCAGCAGCACGTTATTTTTAAACACAAATGTAACTCACTCTTGCCTGGGTTTCAGCTAGTGAGGTTAAGGCCGTAGCACTGCAAGGAGCCCTGGTATGTTATTAGTGTTACACGGGGCTTTCTCCAAAACAGCCTTTGTGAACAGAGCAAAATGCCCCTTTCTTTTGTCTTCCCACCCAGCATCCCTGAGTTAGAGCCCACCCCAAAAAAGGCCCCCTGCAATCATTCAAAGCAGTGATAAGTAGCTTTCAGTTAAAGAAAGGATCCAGCAGGTCTGTCCCCGCACGCCGTGTTGAAAGAGCCTCTGTCAGCAGTATTTGAGTACAGTAAGTATAAGTCTCCAAAAGGGAGACCAAGAATGAAGATCCTTCCCCGACACAGCAACACCTTTCGTTTGTGAAACAGGGCTGAAGCTGCAATGCTTTGGCCACGCTCCCGCTGGAGGATGCAGATATAGCAGTTCTGCTATATGATTACCATTCAACTGTATTTGTTCAATAAACTGAGCGTGGCTGCTTGGTGCTCCACCGTACAATAAAGACGGTAGCTCCATGGAAAGTAATGGCTTCACTTGGCAGGGGTTCGTGCGGACATTTTGCTGTTATCTTGGGTGGATTCATACTGCTCAGGGTTGACTTTGAGCTTCAGCTTCAAACAAACTAGTTCCTGAAAGTGAAAGTCAGCCAAAGCCATGGAGTTTCGCCTGCTTACTTATCCAGAGACCTTGAATTTTTCATGATGTTGATGTAGAAACCATCAATAGACCCAGGTTGTCTTTAAGATAAACCCAGGTTTGCTTGCTTATTTGAATAACTAATGCTGTGGCCATTTCTGTACTTTCTGAATTCACTCCAGCTCCAGCATTGCAACTAAAAAAAATAGAAGTAGGAAGCATAAGCAATCATGAGATCTTTGTAAAAAAAAAAAAAAAGAAAAGACATTAATCAGAGTGCCTTTTTCTAGAGCCATTTGGAAAAGGGGTGGCTGCAGGGAGCCAAGCTCTGCAAAGCGAGCCGTGCCAGCAAACTTGGGCGACGGCTGGCAGCTGAGAAGAGGAGTAAATGACACAGCTGGAAACCTGCCGCCGCACTGACCCAAGCTCTCCCAGGGACGGCCAGAACGCGGGTCTGGTCTGCATTTCAAGCCTGTAACAATCTGGAGATGGAGAGCATCTCCATGGGTTCAGGTTTTGCTATTACTGGTTTTTGCCCATCTCTAATAAAAGAAAATGGATTGGGCTCGGAGCTGTTCTCTGATCCGGTACAACCCATACCAAGATACCTAGGTGTCTTGTGACTGATCATTTGTCATTCTCCTGGCAGTCAATCAAATGGGGATCCCAGGATCCCTGAGCTATCTATGGAGGTGTGCACTCATGTCCCCATTTCACATACAGGCAAACTGAGGAACAGAAAACTGATGCGACTTGGCCAAGGAGCACGAGTGTCTCGGAACAGATTTCCCAGTTTCCACTTCAGGACCTGACAGGTTCACAGCTGCCTCCGGGCGTTTCTTTTGACGCTGTCGGCTTCTGCAGACCATTAGCAGCATCTCTCCTCTTCGCGTAGCCGGCTCTGCCGCAGCTGCCCTGCCACCTCTCCTTTCATCCTGCCTCTCTGCTTGGACTCCCCGCTGGCCGACACACGGATGCTCTCCTCCCCAGAGCCAGCCCACAGCTGCCACTGCTCAGGCTGTACGAACACGCTGTCCAGCCACTCTTCCTTGCCAAGATCTCTATACACACACACACTCACACTCCCCGGGTCTGGGCCAATTGGCTAGTGCAGACATGAGTTCCCATAGAAACCCACCGAGGAACTGGCTACTGAAAATTTAGTTCTCAGGTCAGACAGATGAGTTGGGCACATCCACACCCATCTGGGGATGACGACCAGATGTGCTCCTTCCTGTATGACGCTCACCCTAGAGCGCGTACAGCAAGGAGGAAGGCAACGTGTGCATGGAGGGGAGCGAGTAGAGAACAGCAGCCCAGGAGGTGAGCGTCCTGAAAAGCGGTGGGCCAGTGTGTGGGAGCAGGTGATGCTTTAGGGCACCTGCGGGGAACTAACCTCTCCTTTAATCCCGTCCATTGAGGAAGCAACACATGAATGCAGTGGTCATCCCAGGCCCCTCTTCCCCATGCTAGCAGACTGCTGGAGAAACGTGCTCTTTGACAACAGCAGGACACGGGCACATTAAGTGGCACTTAGCAGAAAGCAAAACCTTAAATGGAAGGAAATGGGAAAAAATTGAATAATTGTAGAGGTCAGAAAGCGAGGCACTCAATTAGTCTTTTGTTTGTCAACAAAACCCGTTATCCAAAGGTCCTTTGAAACAGGGGTCATGAGTCTAAAAAATCCTTATTTCAAGCCATATTAAGGACATGTCACTGAAAAGACTGCCATGTATTTATTTCCTTTCTCTGTAGATACTCGAAGCTGTCAGATCCTGCAAACTGGCTGAACATTAATGCCACAAACGGTCAGATCACTACTGCTGCTGTCCTTGATCGAGAGTCAGCCTACATTAAGAATAATGTCTACGAGGCCACATTCTTGGCGGCTGACAACGGTGGGCCCAAGCTTCACATTGTTCATGCTTCAATAAGACTCTAATGTGATGCATTAACAGGAATGATGCCCTGACAGAGTTGTCAGTATAAGTTATCTTTTCCCCAGGTTTTACGGTCAAAAATGTGAAAGTGGGACAGGGAATTGCTGGAGTACATTAGATGCGCGCAGTATTCAGAGTGCTGTTAAGGGAAGGCGAGGGCAAATGGGAAATCGATTTGGGAAGTTCTGAATCGCAGGAAACAGCGAGGGGCTGCGAGCTCCATGCGCTGCCAAACACACCGATCGTGGTTACTGTCGAAAGCCTACGGTGCCGAGCGGGCAGGAAACACTCCAGCAGGGAGTCAGAAACAATTGGAAGGGACAGAGGGAGGGGATTAGAAAAGAAAGGGGTCTGTATTCATCTAGAGAAGCTGCAACTTTCATAGGACATGTCTGTCTGCCTGTTTTTCTGTGTCATCTGATCTGATCCATCTCTCCGCTCATCTGTATTTCTAATGTGCCCCTCTCCAATGGAAGACAGTGGGGAGGAGCAGTACCGCCCCCCCCCGCCCCATCTACTGCAAAGGCTGAAGCTGATGTACAACCCTTGGCCTTATTTTGGCAAAGTACTTAAGCACACGCTTGGCTTTCTACCCTTGAGTAAGTGAATGGGACTGTCCGTATGCCTTAAGTTCTTTGCTGCTTCAGGGACGCTGATGTCTTTGTCAGCGTAGTTTGGCCAAGCCTTTTGGCATCCTTCAAGCTGAAAGGGGCCAGGTGTGCCATAAGTGTTTATGCTGCGTGGTCAAAACTCGCCTATGTATCGATTCCCAAGCTTTCCTCCTGATAGCACCTTTTTTACCGCTTGGGATGTAGCAAGGGAAGCAGGCTGACCTGCCCAAAGAGCCGTGATGCTGTTGGAGTATTAAAGGGCAAATCCTGCTGCCCTCCAGAAGGTACAGAGTCCTAAGTGCAGTGGAGGCAACGTGGTCCCAGGGCGGGTGCAGGCCACAGGGCATGGAGTCACGCAGGTCTCCCTGTGCAGTAATGCAGAGCAGTCCTTTGGAGGAAAGTAGGGAGCACTGAGTGACTACAGGGGACTGAGACTAAAATAGTGGCTATTGTTTATCACGCGTATTAGAGCAGTGCTCGCAACCCGGAAGTGGGTCGCAAGAATATAGGAAAGGGTCACGAACAAACTGTAAAAGGGGATCAACACACTTAAAAAATGGATGCTCTTTTAATGGAGAAAAATGTGGGAAACCGTGGGTCTTCCCTTGCAGGCTGGCAGAGCTCCAGCCTGCTTGGGGCTGCTTCAGGCCCCCCATGTCCCACACACCCAGCCCCTGCCCAACACGCTGGAGGGCCGGGGGTAGAGGGGAAGCAGGTCAGGAGTGAGGGGCACCAGGTCGTGACTGGCCATTGATGTTTACAGATGGGTCCTGGTACAAAAAAGGTTGAGAGCCAGTGTCTTAGAGCACAACCTAGCTAAAACCAGGGCCACGCGGTACCAAATCCTGTGCAGTCGTGCTGTAAGAGCCTATGCAGCAGATCTAAAGGGAATGGGAAAGGGAAGGGTTGTCACTCTGCAAAGGGGAATCGAGGCGCACAGAAATTAAATGACTCGCCCAAGGGCACACAGAAAGGCTGTGGCAGAGGAGACTGAACCAGAGCCTTAACCACGAGACCACCTTCCTTTCTAAGGGTTTGAACACGTGATGTCGTAACCGGGGGCAGGTGCTTGGCTCTCCGATCAGGATCCCACTATAAGTTAGAGGGATTTACAAAATCAGCACAAGTCTCTCCTGTCTTAACGCGTCATGAGTCTGGGCCCTAACGGAGAGAGCAGGATGGCCCCACCACCCAGCTCCACGGTGGAACTTGATTTCATGTTAAGTCGTTTTCCGTCGGCAATACCAACGAGGAAATCCTGCCCATGCAGCATCTTCTCCTGAGCTATCGTTCAGCAGTTCTGAGAGCTGAGACCTGGATGAATTCCTTTATTTTGAAAAATTAATCTATCACTCTAATATTGCAGCCATTAAAATGCACATAAAACAACGCCTTATTTAAAATTCTGTCTAGAGTGCTTAGGGTAATGGCGAAAGTTTTATCTAGGTTAATAGACTCCTTTCACGTTCCTCCCCGAGTTCCATGTGCTGTGTCATCACATTCTTATCAAAGCAGGGTTTTGTACTTTCCTGAAGGAAGAAACAACATCGTGTTTCCTTAAGTTCTTTTTGATAGTTTCTGTGCATGATTAAGAAGCTATTCCAATGAATGCTCTTTGGAAATGCTCACTCCCTAAACTACAATAAGGAGACCTTTCATACAAGGCAAAAGTACAGCTTCCTTTAAAAGAGAAATCATTAATATTAATAGTTTTATTGCAGCTCTTCCCTTTGCTCGTACGCACATTTTTTGGGCTCTGTCTTTTAGATCTACCGATACCCTGGGATGGCTTCCCGCTCCGACTTGGTGTGGATCTGCTTCATTTGTTTCCGCTGACGTTTGTCAGATCAGGGGAACAGGGCTCCCCAGAAGTTTTCTTGTGACTTAAAACCCTCCCAAATGGAGGCAGGCAGCAAATCTCGAGGCATTTTAGGAGATCCCTCCGTAGTTACAACTGAACGATCGTGGGGTAGCATAATGCTTTTGTGTTGCTTCAGGAAGCCTCTGTGCAGTTGCATTGAAGGTGAAGTAGGAAAAGGCTGTGCAGTTCACACTGGGGGCAATTGTAGATCTGTCCTCCCGACTGTTTGGTTTCTTTTTCATACCTGATTGTCTTTACTGTAACCCTAATTAAGGTTTGGTCTTCATGACGGGGCTGCTGCCCCATAGCTTTGCTGGCAGCGCTATGGCAGTGGAGCCCCTTAGTGACGGTGCAGCGTACAGCTGCAAGAAGTGGATTTCTGCTGGTTTGCCTAAGCTGCCTCCCCGAATACCAGAAGCCCCCTTCTGTCATCCTAGCTGCATCCAGATGGGGCTTGGCTAGAAGAGCGACATCAGGTAAAGGGCGTGCAGTCTTTCCCCACTCTCGTCTCATGCGGTTACATCAGCAACGCTTTGCAGCCCGAGCGAAGCCTGAGAGTCTCGGTGGGAGTCAGCGGAGCGGTGCGGAGGATGCAATCCTAGGTTCCTCGCTGGACACCAGCTTCTGGGCCCTACCTGTAGATTTGCTGAAAAGAGCCCGAACAGTCTCATACCTACGAGCAGCTTCTGCTGCGTGTTGGTTTTAATCATTTATTTTTCCTGCCTGAATATCTCACGAGGTTGCTTCTGAATGCCCATCAGGGGATACCAGCAATGAGCTGAATGAGAAACAGGGCTCAGAGGCACTCGCTTGCTGCATGCACACATGCTAATTTGTGCTTGCAGTTGCCAGGCTCTGTTTTACATGTGCAAGTCCGGGCGATTTCAGTCACAGCGGTATTGCTGCCCCGTGGTGTCGCTTGCTGAGTTGAGAAGCCCTTTAAAAACATGCCCCTGAAGGTGCAAAAGCCTCCTTGGAGTCTGCATTCAGTCCTCGAGCTATTGTGGGCAACATGTAAACAGGAAAATCACCTGCGCTTTCCCTTAGAAGATACTGAGAACAAGCGTGTTGTCATGTGCAGCCCTGGTAGCCCCATGGGCTTTGTGCGTCTCTGCAGCTAAATCCATGTCTGATTAAAGACATTGTTCTACGGGGAGACCTCCCCGGTGCTCAGGAAGTGTAAGCATGGTGTCTGAAACGGGAGGCTGGGAGAATTAATGTAGGCATCATGGAAGAGGGATTTTCAGGGCTCCTTCGGGGACTTTGAGACCCCTTCGACATCAAAAACAAACAAGGATCAGAAGAGAGAAACCACAAACAGGCAGAAGGAATCAATGATTGAAACAGTGGCGAGGCTGTTTTTTATACCAAGCACTAGGAGGAAAGAACCATGAATTGAAAACAAGAGCTTAAAAATGACTCGGGCAAAGCGGTTGGAGGGGCTAGGCAGTGCGGAGGCCTGGCACAAAACTGCCTGCAATGGGGGAGGAAGGGGGAGAAACGCTGGACCATTTAAAAGCAAGCTACTGGTTTTTCTTTGTAGAGGGGACATTACTGAAGCCTGCAGGCCTAGGAAAGCAGAAGAAAGTGGACTCGATGGAGGATTGCACAGGGCAATGACTGCTTTTTATCTAAAGGAATAAAATGGAAACCAAGGCTGTGCGTAGCCGGCACGGGAGTTCATGTAGACAACCCGAAAATTTTAATGCGGCTTCCTTTTTTTTTTTTGGTGCGGTGCATTTTTGTTTGCGTGACACGGCCTGGTCCGAAGGAGTGTTAGCGATTGATCCTTACCCAGGCAAATAGTCCGGTGAAGGTCGGTGGGACTGCTCACAGGAGTGGAAGAGGGAGATCTCTGCATCTGGGACACCAGCAGCCTCTCTGTTACTGGAACAGCGGTTAGACTTGAGAAGAGAGGATGGTACATTTTTCTGGCATTGTCTATGGCTTACATGATCCATGGAGAATCACAGCAGGGTTATGTGATAGCCACTGCCTTGGCTGGCACAGCAGGGCTTGAACAACGGGCCTTGAGGATTAAAGGTAGGCATTGCTGTCCATTGAACTAGGCTTTGTGTCTGAGAGAGCAGAGCAGAGTCTTCTCATCTGGCGCTTGGACAGACAAGTGGACACGGACCACATCCTGACCCGTCTGACTGACTATCCGTCTTTTTTCTTCCTTTCTTCCTTTCCTTTGTGGGTCTAAGTTCCCAGCACCTGGGCAGCTGAACCAAGTGCTTGCAAATTTACATTGCGGTTGCGGCAAGTCCACGCAACACATTTGTTCTCTCTCTCCTCTCACCCCACCTTCCCAAATAGAAATGAGCAGATCTTGGAACTAGTGACGCAGCACCTCCTCCTTATCATTTCAGGCTTTGAATCAAATGAGATCTGGGGATAATTTGCAAAACTAATGCCTCATCCACCAGCTTTTGCAGAACAAAAATACTCCAGGGTCAGGCAGAGGCATAACGGGCTGGTACGGTGCTAGGGCGATGGCAGCAGTGGGAGGTTCACTGCTGTCGGGGTGGGATGTCACCTCCGTTTTTTGCTGATGACGTGTGTTAAGTGGCCCCCAAGAACCAGTGATTTTTCAGTGGCAAAAAAAGGGGGGGTGGCATCTCCCCTGCATGGATTGAGACGTGAATGCAGCGTGGCCCAGGAGGGCTAGTTCTGCATTCCCAGGACCCATGCCGTAGCGCCGTTTCCGGGCTGGACGGCTCAGATGAGTTTCAGGGGCAGGCCGAGGGTGTTGTAGCGCATGCCACCCCTGCGTTGTATTCATTTCTCCTCGTCTGAACCTGCCTCTCCCATTCAGGTATCCCCCCAGCGAGCGGCACTGGCACACTGCAGATCTACCTAATTGACATCAATGATAATGTCCCGGAGCTGCTGCCAAAGGAGGCGCAGATCTGCGAAAAGCCCAACCTGAATGTCATCAACATAACAGCCGCGGATGCTGACATCGATCCAAACGTGGGGCCCTTCGTCTTCGAGCTGCCAAGCGTGCCATCTGCAGTGAGGAAGAACTGGACCATCACCCGGCTAAATGGTAAATGGGGAGGTGATCCGACGGCTGTTCGGAGTGGGGTTTGCTAACGAGAGCCACGCGCAGATTCAAACTTCCCAACTTTCCCACTTTCTTAACTGATTTTTTTTTTTTTAAACACCTTATGGCCAACATTGCAGGCAAGAGATAGTTAATCAGGAGTGATTTGTATCAGACCTGCCGCAAAACTCCAAGAGCTTTGGCACTTGGCTTTTTTTAATGCAGTTCATAATTATGAACAGTTATCAGGAGTGAACGGAGAATAAATCATCCATAATGGCCAAGGGGGAAGATGCTATTATCAGTCTTCCTTATGTTCCAGTGTAATTGTCATGCACCACAATCAGGATCAATGTTCATTTCTCTGGCCATAATTGCATAAAGGCAGCCTTTTAATTTACCATGGAACCAGGAGGGCCAGGTAAGTGTGACGATTACCAGGACGTGAAGGATTGTTAGATGGTGGCATGCAACCATGATTGGTCCTAATTGGACCCCTTATTGGTAGTTTCAGCATAAAAGCAAAGGAAAGAAAGTGTCTTAGAGACTGAACTACTGTCTCTCCTTAAAAGCTGATTCCTCGAGGTCAAGTTTGAAACGCTTTGCCAGGGGCAGCATGATATAACAGCTCGGCAGCTATTGTGGGGATGAAAAGAGTGATTCAGTCTCCTAAACTGCCAGTCCAGCAGCTCTCACAATAGGAAGGAAAGGCAAAAAAACCCCAAAAAACGGAATGGATGAATACATCGGCTTAGGTCTGTCCGCAAGGATTGCTGTGGGAGGCTGGCTGAGCAGCGGGAGCAGAGTGGTGTGGGTCTAGCCCAGAACCGGGGAGGGACAGTGACAGCCTACCAGTGATTCGCTGGCTTGTTTCAACTCTATGCCGTAGCATTTCCTCACCATCAAATTTTATGTGCGAGCAACTGGCCGCTGATTTGCAAACGATGTTAAGTGTGGTTAGTGCTGGCTGTGAGCCAGCATGCTTTTGAAAGCCAGCATGCACAACGTGATGCAGTCACCAAGCATAGTCGGTATGGACCGACCATTAACAGAGTGGAAGGGGAGACATTTGAAGGTCTGCTGGCACCAATTTGGGGTACGGTAAATTGTCATGTTGCCAGTCTCCTACATGCGATTCCTTGGGCTAATCCGATGGCAACGCTTCCCGCACGCTGAACAGCTGGAACCGACCCGTGAGCAGTTATGAGAACGGCTACGTACAATGTTCCCGGTACTGCTTCATGCTCCAGTAGCAACAGGAGCACAGCAAAACTGTCACAAACATCACACCTGCTTCATTCAGGGTTACATTTATAGAGCGATTTTCACTCAGATGCTCCAGGAGCATGCAGAGCACAGCGATAGTGCGCCCAAGCTGCTTTTGCCTTCTGCAGCAGTTCAGAGTTAGGTCTGTCCACAGCCAGAGAGTGCATTTTAAAGTACTCTGTTAACATATAAGGGAGCATAGAAAGGTCTTTTCTCAAGCTCTGACACATAGCAAGAGATTTCTTGATCAAAAAGGAGCAAGAACTCTTGGCAGAACTTGGAAAAGGAAAGAAACTGCACTGCAGGGACAGCACGCAGCCGCGTGGGCTTGATTGGAGGGTGGTCATTTGGCATCCTGTTGTACTGCCATTACCTCTAGTACCTCGCGCAGAGCTGCAGTCACCTGTCTGTCTCTGTCCCTCCAGGTGACTACGCCCAGCTCAGTTTGCGAATCATGTACCTGGAGGCCGGCGTGTACGACGTCCCAATCACCGTGACGGATTCGGGGAACCCTCCCTTGTACAAGACGTCTATCATTAAAGTGAAAGTGTGTCCCTGTGATGAGAATGGAGACTGCACAACCATCGGGGCCGTTGCGGCAGCTGGACTGGGCACAGGTGCCATCATTGCCATCTTGATATGCATCATTATTTTGCTGAGTAAGTGTTGCAGCCTTGAGCACCCGGGTAGGAACTTCACGCCAGCGCAGAAGCGTTTTAGGTGGAAGCTTTGTTCTGATGTACCAATTCTCTCTCTAGAGCATTTAATTAATGGCAGCACAGTCAATCAGCAGAGGGCAAGAAAGTGGGCCACAGAACAGGCACTGCAGTTTGAGCTGGCACCATCATCTTTAAAATGAGCCAGCTGTATCACCAAACACAGGGAGAAGTAGCAGGTTGTACAAGAGGCAGTACAGTGAAGACATCCTTTAGTATTTTTATCATGGTTGTTGTTGTAGTTAGAGCGAGCTGGTACCAAATTGGAGCAAAACGGAAAATGTATAAAGCCAGGCAGGCCTGTTCAAAACTTCTCCAAGTCCATCCAAGTTGCCTTTGTCCAACATCTGCTGTTCCTGGAAATACTGTTTGCAAAAGAGGCACTTCTAGCATAATGCGCGTGCTCTCCTGCCTCCTATAAAATCCCTGAAGCTTTCAAGATCCATCCAAGTTTCAGAGAAAGCCTGGACTGTAGAGTCCGGAGAGCTGGTGATGATTCACCCACATATTCAAGATACTATTGAATATACCCTGTATTCAAACCCCATCACTACAGTGTAAACACAGCGTAAACCACTGAGCCAGGACATTTTGTATTTCTAGAAAACCTTTTTATTTCAGTGCCTCAAATCACTTGCGAACATTAATTAAGCCTCACAGTGCCTTGGCTAAATTGGGTGAGAAATATAATTCTACTCATTTTCTAGATGGGGAAAGGAAGGCACCGGAGGTTAATGTGTCATCCAAGGACACACGTTAAGTCGGTGGTAGAATACATGATAGATCCCAGATCATGGATCTATCGATAGTATGTATAGGATGCCGGTTATAAGAGTTCCTGTTGGCGGGTCTCATTTGTACTGTTTTGGGTGTTGGATACTAGGAGGAAAGAATAATAGGTTGCTTCTAAAAATTCAAGCTAGAGGAAACCTAGGGAAGACAGTTTAAATATGCGTTACATATTTTAAAACAAGAGGAGCTCATGTTTGCATACAGATGCCTTCCCTTCCCGTCCCTGCACCTACAGAAGAACTGTCCCTACTCGCCCCCATCATGACCGCAGCCTGGAAAGTCTCTCGGTCGGCGAAAGAGGAGCCCTTGAAGAAGGAGCAAGCTGCAGAATAGCCCCGAGATGGCCTGGCATAGTTCTGTATGGGGAAGCTGCCTTCCTTCTGGCTCTGCCATCACTCCTGTGCTTTCATGAGCACAAACATTAAGTAAATTTATACACATTTTAAAATAAAAAAGATATCATTATAACTTCAAGCAGGAGTTGGCACAGTAGGGACAGATACAAAGAAGCATTGAAATGCACATGAGGTAAATATTCATCAGGAAATGCAGGATGAAACCATGGGGTTCCCATTAAAGTTAAGAGGAGTTATGGTGCTAAATCGCATTTAATATTTACCCCCAATGTGTTTGAATGGAGAGCGGGTGGAGCAATTTATGCTATTAATGCCACCTAATAAATAAGCGACAGAAATACAATCTAGATGAAACTTCTGTAAAGTGGGTACGTAACTGGTTGGATAATTAGGCTCAAAGAGTAGTCAATCAACCGCTCAAAGTCCGACTGGGAGGAAGCATCGAGTGGGGTATTGTCGTTGAACATCTTCATTGAGGACTTGGAGGCTGGAATTGAATGTGTATTCAGCGGGTTTGCAGAGGACACCAAGCTGGGTGGGGTAGTGGACACTTTTGGATCATAGGATTAGGATTTTAAATGATCTTGATAAATTGGGAAGATGGCCTGAAATAAATCTGGTGAAAGTCAGATTTATATACACGGGTCATGGGAAGTGACTCCTCCACTCTGTGCAGCGCTGATGAGGCCTCGCTTAGAATCCGGCGTCCGATTTTGCGCACGACGTTTCAAGAAAAAGCTGTGGAAAAATTGGAAGGAGTCCAGAGGAGAGCAACTAAAATGAGTAGGAGTCTAGGAAACGTGATAGTCGAGGAAAGGTCGAAAGGATTGGTATTACGTAGTCTGGAGAAGAGAGGCCTGAGGCAGAATTTGATCAGAATCTGCAAATACAAAACGCAGTGTTATAAAGATGGTGACCCATTGTTCTCTGCGTCCACGTGGCATAGGGCAAGAAATAATGGGTTTAAATTGCAACAAGGGAGCACTAGATTAGATATTAGAATAATTTTCTAATGATGAAGGTGGTTAAGCACTGGAATAAATTACCTGGAGAGGCTGGGGAGTCTCCAGCATTTGTCTGGGATGCGTCAGACAAGGGGTTGGACTAGGCGACCTTGGGAGGTCCCTTCCGACTCTGTTTTTCTCTGAATCTAATAACAGCTCAGTGACAGACCCAGCGGGTTGGATGCATCCCCTTCTGCCATTGCTGCTTCTGCCCCCAGCTGACCCAGGCACAGTGGGAGCCCTAGAGGCATTCCTTCCCTGCTCCAGCTGCAGGTAGCGGACCGGGCTCAGCAGGGTACAGCAGCGGTGGCACACAGATTCCTCCTTGCATCTTCTCCCTGCTGCCCCGTTCCTTGCAGCTGTCCCCATGCTGGCTGGGAGCAGAGGCTGGAAGGAGGAACCTGCACTCTGCCACCACCACTATTCCCAATGGAGCCTGGCTCCCGCAGAGCTGCTCCACGCACCGCGGCTCTGGGGCTCCTCCTTGACCCCAGGTCAGCTGGGGACAGCGTTGGGGCAGGTCCTGCCCTTCATGCACCTGCTTCCCGCCTCGCTCCCTGATGTCCCCCACTGGCCTGGGAGCTCCAGCCATGCCTGGCTCCCATCCCCCTGTAGTTTGAGGGGTGGTGTCCTGCACCTCTTTTAGGCAATTCTGTATCTACTGTGGTCCACGTAGCTGTGGCTTGGTCAGTCATAATTCCCATGAGGCTACTGTACTTCTGGACCATGGGCCATCACTAGTCATGCAGTCTAGGACCAATGAGGGGAGCATACAGTTGCATACAAAATGTATATATGCAAGTGCTGAGATGCAGCCTGAAGACAGGATATTTGTACTGTGTGCGCTCAAATGCACACCTAAATGCGATAGGCCTATAAAAAAAAACTTCCAAGAAAGCATGGTATTATGGTCGCCAAGTGAAATTCAGTGCATATTTCTTTGCATCCACCTCTGAAAGTCTGTTGCTCATTAGAAGATTATCTGATCCCTACTTCCAAATCTTTAAGATTTCTAGCCCAAAGATGCATTGCGAGCGCAGGTGATAGCATTACAATATGCACATGCAGAAAGGGCGCTTACGTTTGCAAACACGGTACCATTTTGCACAGCAAGTAATATGCCGGCACATAAACCACGCGGTATGCAGGCATGCAGTTTGCAAGCGCATTACGTGTGCACGCATCTGTTCTGTGATTTGACTTGAGCTCTGGCATGTGAAATGTTGGCTCCCAATGTTGGTTTCATAAAAGAGAATAAGGCTGTAATAAAACCCTGCACCGGAAGTACCAGAGGCAATAAAACACTAGACTTCTTTTCGCCGCTTCCCATATAAATCCAGCTCTAAAGTATGATTTAAACACTTGAAAATTCTATTGACTGAAATTAACTTCTGCTGAAGGACGTTTGATTTAAGAGATTCCTTTTTCATTTTCAGATACATTATCCCATTTTAAATTATGGTTTTTATTACAAAAGCTTATTTTTACATTCATTGTAATTCTAATTGACTCTCCTCCCTTCAAGAGCTGCAAAGGGCTGTATCAGTGATGAAAAATGTAATTTGTGATGAGCAGAGATTTTCCGTTATTGTCCTACCATTTTCTCATATATATATATATATATAGATAGATAGATAGATAGATAGATATGCATGCTACGACCTCTGAACAATAGGCTGGAAAAGGGCACGTGCGACTTTTTGTTCTGCAGTTCTTTGCTGGAGTCAGAAAATCAAGCTTTATAGTTTTAAAGTCAGACCAAGCAATGGGACACACCAGCCGTGGTTGTCGGGGCTAGAAAGTTTCTTTCTTGTTGCCTTGGCTCAGTGGGTTGTTGTTTTTTTCCCTTCATACCTGATGTACTAGCTGCAAGGATAACACTTGAGGGAAGAGCAATGCAATAAAAAATTGTCAAGGGTGAAGACAATAGATTTCAAGAAAAACTACATGCAGAGTGAAAATGGGTATAACAGCAGTAATACAGCTTCCTATTCTGCCGAGTGACTAAAAGGAATGAGAGAGAGTGCACTACATCTGCTATTGACACTTTGAAGGTCTTTTTTTTCAAGGTAGCTGTAAAGGCGTTAATGGCACAGTTTTTCCACAAGTGTGATGAAAAAGTAGCATAAAAAAAACACCCTGGTAACCATTATATTATTGTCTTTGTGTGCCAGGCAGGTAGCTTGTCGTGAGAGAGACAAGAAAGACAGACAAGAAAAGGACTTCAATAGACTGCTAAATAGCTGAGGTTTTATATCAGAGATAAGAGTTGCATTTTTTTTTTATTTTTATTTTACTCGAGAATAGATCTGGGATATGCATTAAAGAAATGCTGAACTATCTGAAAACAATTTTGTTAGCTAGCAGGCAGGGACAGCAGCCAACTGGCATACAATGGCAGTAATTAGCTGTCCGGTCCTCTTCTATTCACTTCAGTGAATTTGTGTTAGGTATAAATGCTGTAGTGCTCGGAAGAAAAGAATGAGGACAAACTCAGATCCTCCTAGCTGCCTCAGATGGGAAGATGGTGCCTGGCTTTGCCCTGATTGCAAGTCCCTTGGAGTCCACATTTCCAGAGTTGCTCTCCTTTTCTTTCTTGCGCTCAATGAAGCTACACTGAGGCTCAGGCAAAGAGGGGGGAAAAATCCCAGAAAACACACGGTGATCCAAAATATCAAGGGCTTGTTCCCAGGGCTCAGCTGAGTATCTGGGACAGAGCTTGGACTCTTGCCTTCTCCCGGAGGAGGCGTCTTCACTTGGAGAAAAATCGCGGTGTTAATGTGGGCTGGCAAACCTACAGCGCTTACACAAGGCGCGCTCCTAAGGAAGACAAGGTAGTTTGCAGTTTTAACGTGAGCTGGCAGGTTGAGGCAAAGACCATTGGGGAGATGAAGATTTAACCCAATTTGCTGATGATAAAAGCCCAGACTGCTTTGCCTTCGCTTGGATTTTACCTTGCATTCATTTCCATATGTTTGCAAGTGTGAGTTAAGACCGTACTTTTTTCCTAGTGAATATAAAGGCCTGAAGGGAAACCCTTACTTTGCAACCTCTCTGCTTCCTTTACGAAACCCATCGGTGGTCTTGTTTTCCTGCTAATACTCGACACTGCTGCAATGTCTAGTGTTACTGGAGACCCACCGGTGTTCCCATGGCTGCTAACACATCTCCCTTGTCTAGCTGATTTGAAATGTGCCGCCTTGGGGAGCTGGCGTGTTGATGAACCAGGGAAGAAAACTGTGTAATGCTGTTTAAGTGGTGAAAGCTGGTGGTCAGCTGTACCTCACTACAGCGTTTGAACAGGAGAGATTCACCAGGCCCTAGCAAATAAATTCAGATGCCCCAAGAGGTTAGTTCTGTGTTGCCACATTGCGCTACCCTCGCCCTGCAAATGCCCGCGTCGTTCTCTGAAAGGATTTCAAAGATTCATAGCCCTGCTCTCTCCATGTGAGCGGCAGAAAGCGTATCCTAATGCTTGACTTAATATGATTTCAGAAATAAAGCAAGCCCCCTAAAGATCATGAATGAGCCTAAATTGGATTATGTGAAGTAATGTTATCCAATCTCTTTCCATGTCTCTGAGCAAGCTGCAAATCATTAAAAAATGATTACAATGGCGATAGCCTACGAACTCAGATGGCGTTTTTGTCTCACCCATGGAAAACATCCGCTCGTGTCTTTGTTCTTTGTTCTTTGCCTTTGACTGTCTTATTTCTCCTTATCATCTTTGATCTAAAACCCAAGCGCCTACAAGAGTTGCAGGATGAAGATGCAGGGGGTTGGGGCATAAACACCTTCAGATAGCTGCTGTTTCTCACACTTTCTTTGTATTTCCCTTGGGATTGGGTGTGTTGCCCTGACAGCGGTAGGTCCAGTCTACATGCTTGGTCAATCATAAAGCAATCTGTGTAGACGGGAGGACCTGTTTGGATTATTGACACTCACTGAAGTATCCCTTTTCTTATTTTTAGTACTTAACAGTTCAGGACAATATGCGACCACTCGGTACGTGGGTCCTCTTCCCCAGTCACGGCACGTTCTGAAGTCCATGCTAAAAGTGAGAGTGTATGCAATATATGCCACCCGTGTTTAATTGAGATATCTGCACTGAAACATGCACTGGGGCGTATTTACAGGAGCAGCATCTAACATCGGTATAAATGTTGTTTTAATCAAACAGGACTAATATCACAGAGGTGATATTTACTTCTGCTGTTTGCGGTTGGGTAATTCAGGATGTAGCTCTTAGCTAGCAACCACATTTCATGTTATACACGTGGGAGTGGCGGGATGCCTTTGGCAGGGACAGCTTGGTTAAACCTCGCTACGCCGGCTCATGGTGTTCGTTGTTGCAGCCATGGTTTTGCTGTTTGTGGTGTGGATGAAGCGCAGGGAAAAGGAACGGCATACGAAGCAGCTGCTGATCGACCCCGAGGACGACGTCAGGGACAACATTCTGAAATACGACGAGGAAGGAGGCGGAGAGGAAGACCAGGTGAGGAGAGCTCGTCACCGAGACTTTGGTCACCCGGAGCCAGATTCTAGCAAAACTTAGGTGTCCACCACGCCCGAGTCCCTGAAAGCTGTAAATAAAAAAGATGGGGGAATCCTCCTCTTCCTCCCTGCTTTTTTGACTCAGTCTTAAGGGTCAGATGAAGGGGTATAACAGAAGCAGATGCATTATTGGACTGTAAGGTTTAAAGAGGGTGGAACAGAATCAGGATTGGGCACTCAAGTTCATTTTGGCACCCAACAGGTGGTAGAATCTGGCCCTGCTGCAAGGCTCACCCTTCATTTCTCAGCACCTTGCAAGCCCCATGATCCCCATTCTGCACCTGAGCACTATAATATAAGATAATATAATATAATATAATATAATATAATATTTGTGCAGTGGCCACCATGCTTTTCCAGGCTGGGGAATAGCCACTGGCCAGGCAGTAGCCATAACATTTATACTGCCTGAAGACAGAGATCACAGCTTCAATTGTGATTGACATTGCTTCAGCAATATTGCACGGGCATAAATGAGAACCAGCTTGGGTCCAGTCACTGCAGTGCCCTGTATCTAGCTGGGGAACATGGATGGGACATTTCCTTTCATTTTGGCCAGTGCCATGAGAGAGGTGTAGCATGTACTGTTCCATTGGGATAAGCCTGGCTGCTGGGTAAGATGATAAATTGCTCTATTGACACTCACGTTTAAACAATATTTCTGTTAGTTCAGTAATTAAAAGTGTGTATTTTCCCTCCAGATGCCTGCATAAAATCAAATCACAGCTACAACCCTCCCCCAGTTCCTGTTGCTCCAGGCACTTGCCTTGGTTTGCTTGAGCCTAGAGCTTTTATTGGCTTTCCTTGTATTTACTTAATAGTCCCTAATGTGCCTTTCATTTCTCTTAATTTCTGGCCTTAATTTGTGAGAAATGTCTAGATATGTTTGGGGATTTTCTTTTCCGCTGTGAAGCTTATCATGGCAAAGCTTTGCTTCGTAATTGAGCCCTGAGCCAAAGTCCGCCTGAATCTGTTAGCTTTTCTATGGTGGCTTCTTATCACCGGCAAGGATTGGCAGGTCTAGGAAACTTCCAAAGCATGGGCTACTCCTCTGCTGACAGGGGGCTTCCCAGACAAAAAAAAGATAAGCTTGTGTTGTCTTATTTAGGATACACTTTCTTCTTACTGCCAGCCACAAGCAAAGGTCCCATGACATCCTTAAGAAGAATGTGGTTAACTCTTGTCCAAATTTGTGTGTGCGTGTGTTCCCCACCTCACCCCCATCCTTCTATTGTTAGTCCCTCGCCCGGGCGCTCTGTATTTCCCTACCGGCTTTGTCATCTTTTTTTTTTTGGATTTACAATCCTAAACATCTTCTAATAAAAGTAGATCTGTAGATGGGGAGAGAATACTGATACATACTGGGCATGTCTACACCTGTGCATTTGCTGTGCAGTAACCGAAATTACCGCACAGTACAGGTGCGCGTCTACACGTGCACACCCATACTGCACAGTAAATATGGTGACTTAGGCCAGCTTGAGCGTAAATTTGATACCTGTATCATGCAGGTATCATATTTATGCCCGATTAGTTACTGCACAGTAACACATGTAGTAACACTGTGTGTGTGTGGACTGACTTGAGACTAACTTTAGCCCCAAGTCAGTCCATACAGAGCATTAATGCACTTTAATGTCTGCACGTGTAGACGCCAACCTATTCCCACTTCCTGCGCAGTAAATTTAAGCCGGTGTAAATGCACGTGTAGACATGCCCACTACGTGTGGAAGTTTTCCCTCTGTGAGTATGTAGTGGGTTTTGTAGCATACAGGTGTAATGGAAAGCAATAAACTGTATATGCACTTCCTCCTGCCTACCTCCGTTTATTTTAAAGGCCTGTAAAAATATATTTGTTTAAATTGTCCTTTATCTGACCCCTGAACAGTTGGACTTGCAAGTTAGGTACCTAATTTTAAAGTGGAGGAATACAGAGACAATCCCATTAAGGGCTCTCTGAAGCATTTCAGAAATAGGTTGTGAAGGTGAATATGCAAAGGTGCAAGGTGGCTTACAGGTTTTATTAGCACTTCTTTGGCTTCAGCACTCACTGGAGCCTTCCTGCATGCCGTCGAGCACACAGCTGGATTGAAGGGGTTCAGGTCTAAGGCAGGCAATGGAGCGAGCGGTGAATGTGGTCTGGGACTCTAGCACAAGAGCAGACAGGACTGTGTCAGGAACTCATGTCCCCATAAGCACGCCATTACTCTAGTCTCAGCTGTAGAAGGGGTTAGGTTTTGCTGTGTAGCCATCAGTCCAGATGCCAAAATATTGAGTGCGGGGCCTTGCAGTCATATCCACCTAACATATCACCTCCAACATTTTGCTCTGTCTACCTGTATGGACCCATTTGGAATCTCATTAATGTTGACAGGAGAGAAACTTATTTTAGACAACATCCCCACCGCCTTGAGGATTTGAGATAAGAGTTTGCCCGGTGCTTTTGAAGCACTTTTCCCACACAGATTTCTTCAGAATTGGCTTCTTTTTCTCTCTGCCGCCCTCCCCCGCTCCTGGCTTTCTCTTTATCACTGAGAATTTATTTATAAATGTTGCAGTTTTGTTCCTGGAGATTTAAGCATCCTGAACCCATGTGCATTCTGCCTAGTCAGAATAGGTTTTCCAGTGGAACAAAACAATAAACATTAAAACCAGCTGAAAAATTGGGTTTCAAGCAACTGCAAAAAAAACATTAGCTTAAATATTTTGGGAAGGATTCTTTAAAAATAGCAGCAAAGGAAGTGCAACAAAACACCGTTACCGACATAAATACATTTTTATCAAAATCTTACCTAATAGTTGTTCCATAGTAACATCCTTCTCTGGTTCCTGCAGTCATAGATCTGTAGCAAAAGGAAGTATTTACTGCAGAAGATCAATATCTATAAATGCAATTCAAATTTTGTATTGTATTTCTACTTACCGTAACATTATTGTAACACAACAGCTACTGCCCCTGTTTTCCGTACAATAAATTATATAGTGAATCAGATTATTGCACATACAGGCCCAACGTAGCCAATTTGTTATCACAAAGCTATAGGGTGTGACGTTACATATGCACAGTGCACGAGAAGTATTCGTTGAACTTGGGTTTTGAATTTGTTTTAGCCGGGGTCGATTTTGCGGCACTTCTTTGGGATCAATTCCATGAATCGTTTATAGTGTTGATAGTTTGAGATGCCCCATATACAGTATTGACATGTTTCTTTTGCTTTCCAGGGAAAAGGGATCAGACCCATCAACTTATTTATATGGAAGTGAAGGGTAGAGCCTGTTGAAGATCTCATTGAAAAGCTCTTGGTCTCACTCTGTGCCTTTCCATTTGTTACAGGATTATGATTTAAGCCAACTTCAGCAGCCAGAGACCATGGATCACGTCTTGAACAAAGCAGCTGGAGTCAGACGGGTAGATGAGAGACCCGTCGGTGCTGAACCCCAGTATCCTATAAGACCAGTAATCCCCCATCCTGGGGATATTGGTGACTTTATTAATGAGGTATGCTCTTGTCTGCTTTGTCACTTCTCAAGGCTCCTGCAGTCACTGGTTTGATATGTTTGCAAAATACTTGGACTAAAATTTACCTAAAGAGTCTCTAGACCTTGCTAAGAGCCAAAACCTTGCTCCTGTTGCTCAGGCCGGAAGTCCGATGAAAGTCAATGGAACTGCACACGTGGGTAATGAAAGGAGTGTTTGGCCCTGTAAGGTGATTAAAACCCAAATGAGCCAAGTGCAGTAATAGAGCACATGATTTCTCACTCCAGCCACAATACCTTTTGTCTTCAAAACCTGTGAGCCTGACGCTGCTCCATTTCAGCAGTTTTGCAGTTGCTTTCAATGAAGCTGGGAATGAGGGCAGGTTTGTTACAGATGGGCAGGCTGGGGCTGAAAAGCAGTCAGGATCGCTTGACTTCTAAGCCCATTAACATCTTCCTACACCGTGCCTTCCTGTCCCGCAGCCTGTGCTCGGAGCCAAAGCTCCAGAGAGAGTGTGTCACAGGGACGCTTCTCACCACCGAGCCATTTTTCTCACCCCACGTGACATCCCTGTGACTCGACAGCACCCTTGGCTCTTGTTTAATTTTTTAGCCACTTATCCTTTAAAAAAACAAAAATCTCATTTTATCTTTTAAATGAATGGTTATGTGTTTGCAAGCTAATCGATGCATCATTTCCTCTAAGACAAAGCAGGATCCATTTCATAAGTCAGAAATATAAATATGGCAGCAATTTCATTCTATTATTATCTCAATTTCCTGCTGTGTTTTTTTTCTTTTTCTAGTCATTACAATTCCTTTTCCCCTTCTCCTCCCCCAGCATCTCCCCTCTGTGCATGCGCACGCATGCACACACACACATTTCCACTGTGATTCAGGCCAGTAAAACTTATTACAGCTTCCCATACCTTGATTCAGGTTCTCAAAATGATAAGTAGAGAGTTTTTTCTTCAGTTCAGGCACATTGCTTTCGGTGTTGCTCTTTATGCTGAACTGGAACTAGAAGACGCTCTGTAACCCTAACAGCAGGTCCAGCTTGTCCTACCTACAACCATACATAGGGCCTGGCAAAGCAAACCAGACCGTTTCCAAGATGTGCAGGTGCCTATTTCTAAGTGAAGTAAGACATGGTTAATATACTAGTCCTCTACATTGACACTGAACTTCCTTTGTAAGTGTTGCAACCATGTTGCTGGAGATTTTCATTTTTACATTGAACATATTGGAAATACAAGGTGAAATCCCAAATGTAAAATCAAATGGGCCATGGTCAACTAGGAGAAGAGATTTCTCAGCTTCAGAGCAGATGCCCTGAAAAAAATGGAAGCAAATCACCCATGTTTCTTTTCACTGCTGCTACTGCCAGGAGTTCCTCTCTACAGCCCAGCACACTTCATGGGTGCAGGACACACCTCCCTGAAGAGAGATACCCACACATCAAGTAGCTCAGCATTCTGGTAGATCTCAGGGTTGTTTGAAAGGGGAAATGTAAAGTCATGTTATCATTCACCTATCTTACCCCTGGTTTTACAGAGCAACATCCTACAGCCGTTTACCTGGATTTCCACCCAGCTAAGTTTTCTCTACTCGTTAAACTTTTGGCTATGAAGCTTTTCTAGGAATTAAATATTATTGGTTGGTGACACAATGGCCAGGTGTTGACCACTTGATGAGTCACGTGAGCCCTGTATATTTCTTCTGAATATGTCGGGTTCAAACAAATTTCACCAAATCTAGGGCAGGATTCCTAGTGGAGCACCTAAGCATCCATGGTCAGTGGCTTCAGGACAGGTGGATATCCTCACGGTTGGCCTGTCTGCACATCCAGAGTCCACTGGCTCATGTACATGCCACAATTTTTGCCCCTTCATGCACTGCAACTGCATATCTGTTTGCACAGGCAGGATTTCCCGACACTTTAACAGTCTTCCTTGTGCATTAAACTAAAACTCTTTGGGTGTAATTTAGTTTGGCTCAGTGGGAATTAAAGCGTTGTGTCCATGGATTCATTGCGTGCAAACACAAAGACACGCAAAAATGTGTAATGAGCCTCTTTGTCCACCAAATGGCGCGGTGACATTTTTGTAGTTTAACCTTTCAAATTGCTTTCACTTTTGAATTGCTTCCGCTTTTTTTTTTCTTGTGTGGTTTGCCAGCTCCCTGCTTCCACAGCTACTTGGCAGGGCATGGGTATGTGGGGGGGGCCCTGGGCCGGGGGGGGCAGTGCTAGACCGCCCCACTCCCCTGCGGTGCTGGCCAGGGACCCAGTTTAATTCGTTTGAAAACCTAGTGCATGTAAACACAGATGCAACGCTCCAAAATAAACAAGTTTCAATATTATAAGCCTATTTCATTGGATGAGGATTAAAACCCGTGGTGTATACAGGCACCCCATGGCTTTGGAGCAGACCCACCAGGCAGACTGCCCTGAAGCAGGGTATGCCAAACACTGGAGAGCAGGGGGAAGGGCAGGAGAAGGAGTGAAGTCTTACCTGCTGCTGCTCTCCATAGACTGAAGGCAGCTGCTGCTGCTGCTGCTACCATGGGCAAAAGCAGTGTTGGCTCAGGCAGCAGCAGCAGCCTCGTGGCTCGGCTCCTATAGCTGGGCAGGACAACACAGGGCTATACGTGACGCAGCAAAGATTCACAAAGCCAGGAGGCTGAGTGGTGCCCTGCTCACCCTGCCCTAGTTACGATGCGGCCTAACGTATGAACATTAATAGGTCAGCGCATTCTAGTGATGTGCAGCTTTTGCAAGTGAATGTGTGACGAAGCAGCAGCCTCGTGGCTCGGCTCCTATAGCTGGGCAGGACAACACAGGGCTATACGTGACGCAGCAAAGATTCACAAAGCCAGGAGGCTGAGTGGTGCCCTGCTCACCCTGCCCTAGTTACGATGCGGCCTAACGTATGAACATTAATAGGTCAGCGCATTCTAGTGATGTGCAGCTTTTGCAAGTGAATGTGTGACGAAGCACTAACGCCCTGTCTTTGCAACCCCCAGGGCCTGAGAGCAGCTGATAACGACCCCACCGCCCCACCCTACGATTCTCTACTGGTCTTTGACTATGAGGGCAGTGGTTCTACCGCGGGCTCTGTCAGCTCCCTCAACTCCTCCAGTTCTGGTGATCAGGATTATGACTACCTTAATGACTGGGGGCCCAGGTTCAAGAAACTGGCAGACATGTACGGGGGAGGAGAGGAAGATTAAACTGACCTCATATTGTTGTTAAAAAAAAAAGAAGAAGAAAAAAAATTTTAAAAAAAGATGACGATGGTAAAAATAGAGAAGACAAAGAAGCAAGAAGTGTACAGAAGTGGCAGCTTTTTTAATTAATATCCCCTGCTGACTGTATTCTTTTTAGTGGTGATTTAGGAGGTTTCTTTTTTCTTTCTTTCTTTTTTTTTTAATTTTTTGGGGGTTTTTTGACATTTTGCTGTCTAGCATGAACACTGGTCTCTGCTGCATTTTTTTTTTTTAAACGTCAGCTGGGATATCGCTCGTTTATCCGCTTTATGACTAAAGAGAGTGAAAGGCACTCTGTCTTAACTTGAATTTCTTAGAACAGAAGCACTGTTTTTAAAATATATATATATATTTGAAAGTGCCTTTTGGTACATGTATCAGATTCCCTTCAATCTCAGGAGTGATCAGAACAAGCATACAAAAAAAGAAATGTTTCAACCATCTTGGGCAACACTCTCTATGACCCTAAGCCAGTTTTAGCTGGGAAGGAGTTAACAAAACAGAACTGTGGAGATTGTTTCTTTTTTGCCTTTTTTTTTTTAAAGTGGGTGACTCATTTTGGGGGAGGGGGAAAACAAGATGTTTTGAGTCAAAAATCTTAACAGCCATCTTTAAGCCTCAGCAGGTGGTGAATTAGTCATCATGTTGTATATAATTCAGTGTTATCAGATGCAAAATATTGACTGGGGTTCCTTCTGTAACCTGGTCGCACTTGATGTAGCTGCATAGAACTATAGCATTGATAAGCCTTTGGTTATTGCAACAGAGATCTCAAACAGACCTTGCATAAACCCTACAGTTAATCGTGAAATGACCAAAGGCCCATTTGTTTGTTTTTTGCTATCGGCGTGTTTTTGGCTCCCACACCTTATTGAGTAATGTAAATAATGGCTGGGTTACATGGTGCTGTCATGCATCCCGAATGGTGCTTGTTAGTATGAAAACCAATGCTGTTTTCTTAACTTAACGTAAGGACATAGCATAACTCAGGGGTGGGCAAAATGCGGCCCACGGGCCGGATGCGGCCCGCCAAGCCATTCTGTCCGGCCCGCGGGGCTCCTAAAACATGTAGAAAATTAATATTTATCTGCTCCTGGCTGCCTATCATGCGGCCCTCAATGGTTTGCCAAAACTCAGTAAGCGGCCCTCCGCCCAAAATAATTGCCCGCCCCTGGCATAACTGCTTACTTCAAGACTAGGGCTGTATTAATAACACGGACAGTTTTATTAGTACCTTTGCCATACGTTAGAATAAAGTTAGTCTAGTCCAGTACTAATGCCTTGGAGCATCAGTAGCCAAAGCTCAACAGCATCATGGAACCCACCAGACGTGTGTCCTTTATATTTGATGGATAGGCACTTCTGTCTATATTAAACATCTTTTGGAAAAGAAAAGCAAGAAGGGCCTAATAAGTATTTTGTGGTTAATATGCTCAAACGGCGCCAATTAAGTAAGAGGTTTTGCAGCATCCAGGCATAAGTCAACATCAGTATTATAAATGGTAGCATACTACCTAGTTTCTATGTAGGGTCAATTTAACCAATAACAAATAGTTATTAGCATTTCTTTTAATTACATTTTTCCTTTATTGATTTGGACTAGTGGGTTTATGTCTAATGTTTGTAAAACGATTTAGACTGCATGGATGTGTAATATAAACCACATTTAATGGATTACGAGCCACTTAATTCATGTGCTATGAAATCTTGGATTACCTATGTTTTATATTCTGCAGACAATTTTGCAGTGGGTTCGCTAAAAAAAAAATTGTAAAAGTGCTTAGATATATTTTTCCTTTAAATCCAAGAACGTGCACAACATCGGAAGGTGATTATCCGGGGGATAATCGTGCTTTTTTGATATGTAGGTTGATTCTCAAGTTGAATGCAAAGAGTTAAAAAGGGGGGGAGAGAGGACAGGGGAGAGAGTGTGAGAGCGCGCATGTGTGTGACAGTGAATGGCCATTGCTCAAGAGGGAACTTGAGGCTGCAGGACCATGTCTATAGATTTTTAAAATGCTCCTAGTGCATTTTATATTTCACTGTATCATATTTTCTATAAAATGCAATTTGTGTAAATTAACGAGCATTTGAAATGTGTCTTGTATGAAATGGAATGTGGTAAAGTCTGCTTGAGGGGACTCAGTCTATATGTGTTATATTCTTAATTAATAAGTATGTGGGGGGGTGTTTTTTCTTGGTCGGTTGGTTCGGTTGGTTGATCCTTTCGCTATTCAGGAAAAAACAAAACAAAACAAATGAAAATGTATATACAAGTTACCTTGAGGAAAGGAATCGGTGATGGCTAAGACCTCAGGAAACAGTGATGGCAGCAACAACACATCGCTGCTGTTCAAAGGGTACTGGCTGTCAGCAGAAGCTACATCCCGGATGAAATGCAGTGCATGACAAATTACAGTATCTGATGCCTTTCAAAAATATTTACTCCAAAGTTGGGAACTCAACCTTCATCGTGTTGGCACTTGCACAGTCTGAAAACCTTAGTTCACTTCCACTGCAGACCTCCCTCCACCCCAGCACCCTAGTACAGCCTCCGATGCTTCACGTGGTCTGTGTCTGCTCTTGTACGCGGGGACGTAACTGCACCCATACAGCCGATCCTTTTTTGAATTGCAGTCTCCTTGTGCAGGTGGGTTGGGTCTGTGTGTAGCCTGTGTTCCTTATCTGTGTACTAGCCTGATCTTTTTCTTTCATTTCTGAAAAGCCTCAGGCTTAAATATATTATAAACAGGGTGATGCACCTCCATGGAAACTGCCCTTCACAACGAAAATAGTCAATAATAAAAATGGACTTAGTGTTTCTCATTGCTTAGTACATGCCAGTGTTTTGTGTCCATTACTGTAGCCTCCTCCGCGTCACAGGAGGAAGAAAGAAAAGGGGAGAACGGCGTTATCCAGTGTGAGAGCCACGAGATGCGAACGGTGCCTGGTTCTCTCTGTCTGGTGCGCTTCTTTGCCTCTGTGCAGATAACCAGGCCCTGGGAAGCTGTACGTGGATTAAGTGAATAGCCACGCAGAGGGTCTCTGCTTCTAAGTCATGCTAGGCAAACCAGTTGGCACCAGACGGTCAATGAGAGTTGTCCAAACATCGGCTCCAGGAAGCGTAGTGCTCATTTCCTTTCCGTGCCCTTAGCTGTGGTGATGGTTTCCCAAAATCAAATTGGACAGGTGAAAATGCCATGCTCTGATCACAAGAAGCTCTTCTAGAACGTATGCCGTACCAGATCATTTGATGTCACCAGGGCTGGACATACAGAAGAGAGCAACACAATGTTTTTTCGTGGATGAAGAATGAGATGCGGCCGGGGTGAAGCTTGTCTCAATATTTAGATTTCCAAGCCTGAGACTGGCAGAAACATGGCATTGATTTAAACTAAAATAAAGCGGCCTGTTTCTACTGCAAATTTTTCAGACGTTCTGCAACCAAGAAAGCGCAGCCCTGTGAGCGTGCGTGAGCGCTCAAGAAGGAAGGCAGCGAGGCTGCTATCTTCTGATCCAATTCTGCTCCCCCTTTCTCCTCCACACCCCCTACACGCACACTCCATGAAGTCTCTGGGTCACGTGGGTAGAAACGTGGATAGGATTTGGCACACTGTTCAAGAGGAAAGAGAAGGTAAGCAAGCCGTGTTACTGGTGAAAACAAATTAGCTTGCTTGCAGATTTGTTCGCTTCCATGAATGTCACTTGTGCTCTGCAACCTAAAGGACATTGCTTTATTTTTAAGATGGTGGTGTCCTTCTAAAGCAGTGGTTCCCAACCTTTTTTTGCCATGACCTGCTGCTGGGAGCGGAGCGCGGTGGTGGCGGTGGCAGCCCGGGGGCAAGGTTGGGGGAGCTCCTGGCACGCGGTGCGGTGCGGCGCCACCAGCATTGCCCCCGCGACCCTCGTTTGGGTCACAACCCAAGGTTGGGAACCACTGGTCTAAAGAGATGTTGGCTTCAAACCATTTTTCTGACCCCTCAATAAAGATACTTAAGGAAGGGACTGGGGGAAAGGCGGGGTCATTTGTTTGTTTGATTTGGGGTTTTAGTTTTTGCGGGGGGGCTGGCAGTAGTAGACACATAACGAGCTCGCTGGTAAAAGAAGTGGAGTCCAGGCAGGAGATCTTCCACTTCCCATGGGAAGACGACTAAAAGTGCACTGGCTTTAGGAAGAGTGGACTTACCCTTCCCTGTACCATTGTGCCGTACTTCCCATTTCCCCATCTCTACCTATTACTACATTAATCGACACTACTGCACCTTTCACCTTTACCTAGGGCCAGGAGATGGGGAGCTCTCTGCCCAGTAAGGAGCATGTTTGAATGTAGAGCTGAAGGCAGCCTCCCTTCTCTGAAAGACCAAGGTTGCAGGCAGGGTCTGAGCAAGGGATCAGACACATCGGAGGTCATTCTGTCGGGACGGCCTTGAGGCCCGAACCCACCAGGCCAGGGATGTAGTGTCAGGAAACAACAGGTGTATTATGCAGCATGGAAAAGTGACACCGGCAACAAAACAACGTACAGCAAAGAGGAGCCCTGCGCAGAAGACTGTTAACAGTAAATGGGCAACGCTGTGCTACTCACTGTCCTTACGTCCTCCTCTCATAGGTCTGTTTCTTTCTTTTTTTTCTGGGTTTCTTTTCTTTCTTTTTTTTTTTTAGCCCACGAGATCTGTTTTAGGGCTGCAAGCGAAATCCATGCTCATGCCAATGACCAGTACAAAGCCGCCGCACCGCTCAAATCCTCCTTACGTGGGATTTCGGTTTTGCTCGACCCTGACCTTTCCCGTAAGGGTTAGGTAAGAACGATGTGATCTGCGGGTCTTGCTCTAGCTGCTCACACGGGTAAACGTCATCTGTTCAGGATTGCTGTGGTCCATGCAGGGTCTGTGTAACGCAGGATACGGGGAGTGCATCCTTCATTGGTCTCAAGAGTATAACGAAGGTCACCTACCTGGAAACGGTGGGAGCTTTATTTGTAACGTCTTCTGGAACCGCTTCAGTGCAAATTTAAACATTGTGGGAGGAGGGTGGTAGCACTGCCATATGTTTAAGGCCTAGACCATGTAGCTTTCTCCCAAAGTCATCTCA